GTTAATTTATCTGATGGCACGTGTCCTAACAAAACATTTACACAATAGATAAGATGGAAGAAGACTTCCAATCTTCATATAAAAATAAATGGCAGAAATATTCAAAACTAAAAATAATCCTGGTACAATTAGTTATCCAGCTTCATCTCCGATAAGGACAGCTCAACTTTCAGGCTGTTTTCATGCCTCCATCAAACACAGCGATTGCTCAATCACAAAGTACACTCAGTCGTTCAGATATTAGAATTTAGGAGTTGGTGGTTTGTCTTCAGAGATGAAAGAGCCATATTTGTATACGAGGCAGAGCATATTTTGGTTTCATATACTTGCAGTTACCTGATGAAGCAGTGGGAGCTGCATGTGCAGGTTAGAACCAAGAATACAATGAAATTAAAGGACTGCAGAAAGAAAAGACAAAGTGTATGCAACAAAATACACTGCAAGCTAGTGTGTTAGATCATTACAGTTAATATGCTTTCACATGCAATTAATATGATGACACCAACAAACTGCTATGCCAAACCTTTAAATACTGACATGTAACTGCTGTGCACCCACTAGCCAATCTGTCTTTAAACAATGGACAACAAGCGTGTGAAGCACCTCCCCACTGGAAAAACAGTCTCTAATCATTGCAATGTCAGTATCAGAGATTTGACCACAGTTCTGTGGAATGGCTGTACAACATTGCAAACCAACCAAAACCTTTTTTTTTTTTTTTCCTCAAGGAATTTTGCAGCACCTTTCTCTGTACAACAAGGGGAAGAACAGATTCCCAGACAACAGGTAAGCTTAAGTCCGCAGTGTGCCAACATTACACCTCAGCATGCCAGCAAAATGATGTCACCAACCAACACTTTAACATCTCTCAGACTGGTCACTCAAACAAAATCATCACCTGTTTTAGTTTTGCCACAGAAAAAAAGAAATGTTTACAAGATGATATACAGGATGTAAACATATCTGCATGAATTGCAGTGAGTTCAAAGAGGCTGCAAGGAGGCAAAGGATTAATTGAATCTTGAAGTCTGGAGATCTGAAATCCTTATGGTTTATGATCTCAGAGACTTACAACAGAACTATTTGCCTTTATCTCTTTGAAGTTTATCTTACTCCATCAGGAACTTTTAGTCAAGTTCCTTTAGCTTCAGACAATTTTCTACTTTGTTTCTCATTTGATCAGCAGTCCTCTAATGACGTTGGCAGCAGGATGTTTTCATCCATTCCCTGTAGTTCTTCTTGCTGCTTTAAAAAACCTCTCTGTGTGATGGGCCTTTATAAGGATGTTTTAAATTAAGTTAGCAACATACCAGCATATCTACAGTATTATCTATTAATTCCATGACTTGCACAGCATTTCTTCTGCAGCATACCTGCCTAACAAAATGGCAGATAAGACAGGACATGAAGCACGTGCATATTTATAACAACTTCAGATCACAAGCTGTGGGCTGGTAGAAAACAGTTTGTCCTTTCTCAGTATGACAGTGCTTCACCTTGAGGCTTAAGACTACAAAAAAATGCAACTATGAAGATCACATGATGCACATGGGTACCATACCTGTACCATACTACCTTCTAATACAAAGCCAAGATTCTGTTTAAAAATAGCTATATCCCTTGGAACTGATCACCTCAACTTGCAACATCTGGAACAAAACACAGCAAAGATCTACTGCATTTCATTTTCTCCACAGTTCCGAAACATGATATTGTAAAATGACTTCTCATAGGAGTAACAGAAACTGAACAGGAACAAAACCGACCAGGACTGCCTTCTTGTGTCCACAAGTCAGTGAAAAAATTTCACAAGCAATGTGCAGATTGAAAAGGAGCGGGGTACATTAAACCTAATGCATTGAATAACCTCATTTAGCTGTAGCTATGAGAGACATGTAAGCTAATGTTCCAGATACAATTCCTCTTGTGATAATTACCAGAAGTATGGGGTAGTAGATTCTAGAAATTATTATTTTTATTTAAATAGGTAAACATCTGGCCTAATTTTACTAATCTTTTTACTTCTAAGTACAAAAACCAACAGCAAAATGTTTTTCATGGTGTCTAACACTGTTTTTATGGCGAGAAAAGGGCACCTCATGTTCTGTAACTTTCACAATATCCACATGATAAATCCATGGAAGCAAAAATAAAGACCACAATCTTTTATGAAAAGCAAATAAAAGTCTAAGTCCCTGTGTTCCCAGGGAACCTCCCTCCTTTGTAGCATAGGGAAGAAAGACTTGTAAGCATGCAGAAAGAAAAAGGAAACCTTTCTTTTAACATGGTCTTGTAAAAAGGACAAAAATACTCTTAGTTGTTTTGATTTATTTGCAAATGCATAGCATCAGATACTTAGGAGATTCTTTTGCATTACTAGGGAACACATGGAAGCTTCTGTTAGCTAGCAAGCTCAGCACTGTGAATAAACCCATAGAATGTAGTTGTTTGCTTTTTAAAACATTGTTTATTGAGAATACTTAATGAGAATTGAAGCTTCAATAGCAAATATTTAACAAGGAGCACAAACTCCCTCACCTAACCATTTTCTAAAGCACAACTGTCCCATCCTACTTAAAGAAAACACATTCTTGGCGATTGAAAGATGTGAGATTCAGCCTTCTGCTATTTATCAAAGTGATCAAGTCTTCTCAAGCAGAGGAACCTGTACTCCTCAAGTTTTATCTCGTGTTCAACAGGAACTGCTTTCCATAAGATTCGGAACTGCAGCTGTCCACACGGAGGAACTGCAGTCTTTTCTCCACTGCTGCCAAAAAATTGCTCCCACAACATTTGGAAAAATAATCAATTTCAATTCAATTCATACTATTAAAAAGAAAAAAAAAAGAAAAAAAAAAAAAAAAAGACTAATGTCACATAACCATATTGAAGCATTAACTAGATATCATAGCCCAGAAAGTGAAATAGTTTACATTTGTTTTGCACTGGATAAGTGCTACTCACACTGAATGTGAAATGGTAAGAAATGGATCCATGGGGCAGGAGCTGCAGTTCCTCAGGCAAAAAGAAACAAAACAACTAATGGGAGTAAAGTGAATTTAATTTGTGAGGCACAAGTAGATTTGAGAATTCAGAATCCCAGAGCTACAGTATTTCTTTTGCTAGCGTCATATGGCAAAACTTTAGCCCTATAACTGCCCCTAACTTCGGTGACCATATAGATGACACCATGCATCACATGTCATGTCCTCTGTCTGCTGTGGGAGGCAGGGCAAAGCACTTGGTGGTACCCTGTAGAAAGTGCTAAGTTAAGGCCTTTCACCACATCTATGCATGAATTATTTCTCACTCCAAATTTTATCTTTGAAAATTTCTTCCCACTACTGCTCCTTTTATCTCTACAAATTGCAGCGGGTTTTCATTCTCTTTTCCATGGTGTCGATACCTTTCAGTTGTCTGAATGCAGCTGTATAGAGTTTCAGCCTACAAGAACTAGGTCAATGATTTAAGAAACTTCTTGTTATTTAGGAGAGCACAGGAACTTTCAACACACACTTAAAGTTAACCCTGTCTATGAATCCTCCTCTAAACCAAGGCCTAGAGATAGGAAAGAACCAATCCCTCAGTGCTTTATTCAAACATAAATAGTGAAACAGAAACTCCATGGGGGAGTAAAGCGACGCTATCAGAATCAACCCCTGGTGATAATACTGCAGCCAACCCATGGGGTGGGAAGGGCTTCTGCTGCATGCACACCATCCTGAGAATGCAGATCTCCTGCCACCACTTAAGGTGTATTACCCACTATTGCTCTCATGAAAACTGCCACATTGATAAATACCAATACATACTTTTTTATTTAGGGATTTGTTTCCTTTCAATTTTTTTTTCCCTAATCAATGTAAATCCCATTTATGAATACTGTGACTGCTTATAGCTGCTGGAAGTGAAGCTAAAAACACATGTGGCTCGTGTCTGCATTCCAGCCTGTAGTTGACAAAATCTCAAATTCAGTACTTAGGACAGAGGAGTTTTCTGAGTTTTTGTTATTATTATTATTATTTTATTTTGTCTATAGCAAGGGGCATTTTGCAACTCACAGCTTTTTTTAGTCTCCTTACAGCGAGACACAATCCTCATTTTACATGAAGCCAACTGACACTTTAATTGGAAGCTTTCTGAAATTACAGACTTTGTGTTCAACTACTTGAGAGAAAAGGAGGATTTAAGTAGAGACTGTTCTTAAAGCAACCACTTCCTTTCCATTTGTCTTTTATGCTAGACAGTTTGCCACTTGGGTGATTCTGAAGAACATTGAAGACAAATAGGGTTTAAATAGCAAACAAACACAAACATGGCCAGAAAGACGACTCAGAAAGAGCCCGGGGTTGAAGCCCGTTAGATGGAATCAGGTTTTAGCACTTATCTAGCAAAACACCACAATGAATTTCTGCCCTGACCAATCTTTTGGAAATCTCTGCACAGACCTCCCTCGCTTTCATTAGCGATCTCTGTGCAATCAAATCTTTTTTAAGGCATATCTCTTATCTGGCAACTTTTACTTCAGGCTCTCAGGGTTTATCTGCAGGACTGCGATGGTGATGAATTTCACATCTCTATAGGAAAAAGAAAACATCCAGATGGAGCTTTACTTCTGAACCAGCCCTTTCGGAGGGTGGTGTAATTGCCTCCACATGCACAGACACACCCTGCCCGATCCCGTGTTTACGTTTACCATTAAAGCGACACATATCTAACATTTATTTACAAATAACAAGCTACGAAGGCAGAGCTTTTAACAAAGAGTAGAACAACTTCGCAACAACAACAAAAGGGACGCGGCGCTCCGCGAAGAAGACGCATCCCCGGATCGCTCCCCGTCACGGCGCGGGCATCCCCCGCCCTCCGCCTCTCAGCACAAGAGATTCCCCCCGCGCGGATCGGCCCGGCCGCGGGCACTTCCACAAGTTGCTCTCCGGAGCCGCCCGCGGAGAGGCCGCCCCCCCCGAGGGGCTCCCCCCGCCCGCACCGCCGCTCACCGACTGCAGGAAGTGGAGGGTCCCCACGTAGTCCCGCTCGGTGCTGAGGATCTCGTTGAGGACGCAGAGGCGGAGGCGCAGCTGGCGGTCCGCGTCCTTGGGGCAGCCCGCGGGCTCCGAGGCGCTGGGGGCGCCCGGCGGCGGTGGAGGCGGCGGAGCCTCCATGCTGGCGTTCCGTTTTCCCGCTGCTCTCCTCGGCCGCCTCAGGAGCCCCCCATGACCGCTCCGTGCCCGAGTAACGGCGCCCCCCGCCGGCCCCTCGGCCCTGCACCGCCCGCGGCCGGAGGCGCTACTGGGGCCACTCGCCGAAGGGAGCCCGGCTGCGGGACATGCCGAGGTAGCGGCACGGCGCTGAATGAGGAGAGGAAGGGAAGTCCCGGCGGAGGGGGGAGTGAGGGGGAGCGAGAGGCGGGCGAGGAGGGCGGGACGGGGCGGGCGAAGGCAGCGGAGCCCTCCCCTCTGGAGGCCCGGCCGGGCCGGCGGCGGGGGGCGGCTGAGGGGAAAGCGCGAGTGGGGGTCGGTCGGCGGGCGGGATGGATCCGCGGGCACCGCGCGGCGGGAACGCGACCTCACAGCCGTCCTGCGCTGCACCGCCCCTCAGCCCACGCACCGCTCGCACACAGCCCACTCACGCACAAACCTTTCACACACAGCCCTCGCACCACACACCGCTATTCTTCTACACTTAGGATCACAGAATCATGAAGGGTGGCCACTAACATCTACTAACAACTAACCACTAACATCACCGAGTCCAAGCCAACACACCCCACCATGCTCACTAACAACGTTCCCCAGTGCCACATCTCTGTGGTCCTTGAACACCTCTAGGGACAGTGACTCCATCACTTCTGCAGAGTCTGTGCCACTGTATCACTACTCCTTCTGTGAAGAAATTTTTCCTAATTTGAACCTAAACCTTCCCTGGTGCAACTTGAGGCTGCCACCTCTCTTCCTATCACTTACCTGAGAGCAGAGATCGACCCCCACCCCACTCCAATCTCCTTTCCAGACACTGAGACAGTGATGAGGTCTCCCCTGAACCTCCTCTTCTCCATACTGAACCATCCCGGCTCCCTCAGCCACTCCTCATAATCACTTGTGTTTCAGACCCTTCTCATCTCAAACAACAGCTACATCACACATTTACGTCAACCCCCACGCTATTCACACACAGACCCTGAGCACAGGCATACCACACCACGGTAACAGCACACCCAGAGCACACACCACTCTTGCCCACACCACACACACAGTGCACTCCCACGCCAAATACACGCAGACTCCTCATGGGACGTGACCTGATGTGAGCAGGCACACCAGAACAGGTACACTCACACACAAACTCAGGTGGTGCACACAGAAATGTTCACAAATGCACAGAGACATACACGCAGATTCATCTGAAGCTGTAAAATCACAGAATTCACGCCACAAACACTTGCACATACAGAGAAATGCACTCAAATCCATATATTTCCCTCCCCTCTGGTGGACTGAGGGGCTGATACACAAACTCACCACTCCAGAACAGATGCATACAGGAATATGAAAACCTAAATGTACACAGACATGCAGAAATAAGAAATTCCATGCCAATGCAGAATACATATGGGAAATGTAAGTGTTGCTGGAAATCGTAAGTATTTTGTTTAAGTTTGTTGCAACTGCTTATACAAAGTTACCACAAGGCACAAAGGCGCAAAAGCAGAAGTGGACTGGATAAATTGCATACCATGGTAGAGAGAGTCCTCTAAGACAGTGTTCTTCCTGCTGACTCTCAGAAACCTACCTTGGTTCAAATCAATGGAGATTCTCTCAGATGTCTTCACTGCACTATGCGCTGAAAAGCTGCCAGGCTTTTGAATTAAGTAGAAAAAATGTTTCAACAGAAAATTTTTAGAAAGATAATGATGTGAACCTTTAAGTGGTGTAAAGACAGAGACGATTTTCTATTACCTTAAACATGAACATAAATAATGTAATAAATCATAATTTTCCTCAGGCTAAAACAAAATACCTCTTTGGGTATTTTAAGGACATTTTAACTTGACAGTGATGTTTTTCTGTCATGACTAATCTCTGTCTTCAAAGCATTAAGTTTTCTATTTAAGAGAAAATGATGGAGTTCAACATACACAATTGTCATCCTGAATACTGATTTAATCTTCATGAGTATCATATTGCATGAAATGAAAACCCAGCTCTACAGCTTAGGTTATAGTGGCAGCAGGCTTCATGTCTGCTTCATAGGGAATATCAGATATTTTCAGTCCTAGATGTGGACACTGTCTGTATCAAGTAATAATGATTTATCAGCTTCCCAGGTCTCCTTTTGATGTAGTTTCAGGTCAAGGTGGGCAGTTTGCACTTCCATAAACATGACTCGTGATATGTTGTAATACCACTTTATTTCTTCAACCTTATCAGTGAGAAATGTTGCCTTCACTCTAAGTCAGTCAGAAACACGATTGCTCAAAACAGGACAAAAAGTATTGGAAAGCTCATGTATACTTAACTGTAGGAAGTTGGAGGGAAAAACCTGGAGAACAGTGGGAGATAATTCTGGGTTTTGCACAGATACGAGCTGTATGATCACCATAGGACGTGGAAGAGCATCTCAGCACAGGCCTGAGACAAGGACAGTGAAGCAAAGACTTCAGAACAGGTCAGAGTAAACTAAACCCACTATTTTTACTTCAAGTTTATTATATTTAACCTTTTATTCTATTCTCTATAGCTTTGTCATTTTTTTTTTAGTTTAGTGTGTCTCCCATTGCTGTATTTTTTGAAACCAATGACTTTTCTGCCTAGGACAAGTGGCAAGACTATCAGCTGAAAGATCCTAGCAGGTTAAATAGCAATATTCTGTTAGGGAAAAATCAGCATCACCAAAGCTGCGCCCCCACCCTGTGGCTGAAGGAGAAAGCTGATAACTTGAAAGTTAATGATTGAACTGTGACTCCTTTGCTTGCTTCAAAAGTCTCATTATCACTTCATTTCTTCAGCAAATTCTGAGGCAGAACACAACCATGGAATCAGTGGGATGCTATCTGAGCAATGCTTGCACTACTGTGTAATGTGCCTTTTTGTTTATATTGTGTGTGATCTACATCCACATTTTATAGCTTTACTGTCAGCATTTCTGTGTTGAAGCATTACTATGTTAGGCTTTTTTAATGGGATACCACTTGTGACTGGAATGAATAAAATGTTAAGAAAAAAGTTTTCACTAAAATTAGAGTTTTTTACTCTTTTTTGAAATAGTTTTTTTTAGCTACAGAAAAATCATTTTGATACGGTAAAGTGTATTTTTGTTTGTTAGGTTTTTTTTTTTTTTTAGTTTCAACCTTTTTTTGTTGTTGTTACCTACTGATGAATTTATTTCCTTCCAAATTATCTCAGACGTATAGCAAGTCTCTACTTCACACTGGCTGTTTTCTTAGCTGCTGGCATAGCTTTTCATTTTTAAGACAAAGATCTGCAATTAAACAGAAAGCTGTTTATTTTTAGAGATATTGTATTATTGTATTGCATAAGGCTTCAGCTGAATTTGTTCCTTACAGCTTACTTTCTTTTTTCCTTTTTTTTTTTTTTTTTTTTTTTTTTTTTTTTTTTTTTTTGTATATTTAAAAAGGAAATAGTTTATGACTGCTGTTCAGTCTTGAAGAGAAAGTCTGCTGCCAACGTTTTTCTTCAGTGAGCACTTCAAAACCAAACAAAAATGCTGCTACTTTGTAAAACAGTCAGGGAGCCAATTATCAGGAGAGTGACATATCAATTACCATGAAACTCACCATCTTTCATGAAGATGTAATTAATTTACATGTGCTTGTAAATTGTTTGGAGCAGTTATATTTATGCACTGTCTAGCACAGTATCACCAAGGTGTTAAGGTCTCTGTGTAATCACAATACCAAAAAACCACAATCATCAGCTGTGTTTGACTCCATACTGGCTGTTTTCCTTCTTGGATGAGAAAGCATTACTGGCACTGTGAAGGCCCTGCTGAAGGCCCTGGGAAGGCCACTGTAGCATAAGACTTAAGTTCAGTGTGATTGCAGGGTTTATTAATTAAACTGAGATTACGCCTTTTAGCCATAGCAAGGACGATCTCATAGTGGACCTACCTACCTCTTCCTCACTGGTTTTGTGAGGGTATTTTTCTCCTTTCTTCTTCTTCCATTCTGAAAGGAGAATCTGTTTGCTAAAGCATACGTTCTGAAATTTGCTGAAGTTAACAAGTCAAGTTATTTCTGCTAACTTTAGAATATTTTGAATCAAATCCCCGTTTTTGGCTCATCAAAAAATGGCCGCTCATGCTTAGTTTCAAAGCGGCCTGATGTCTCGGAGAGATATTCAGTGAATTACACGTCCTGTATGAACCCTTCATCTGTGTACGCATTGTGTATATTATTTATATGAAGATTGTAGTTTATTTATTTTTCTGCATGTGTGCTTGTGGTGCTGAATCAACTCCAGCTCAGTTTCTCTGAGCAGTGTGGAAGTGTTGGTATACATGGGAAATTAGTCATGGAAATGTGGTTCTCCAAAATAATTTTGGTGCTCATCTCCCTGTACATCACCTACCTGGATTTCTTGAGCCTAGAAGCTGTATCTTGACCATTGCTTTCATAGTCCCAGTGGCCCCCACTACCCAACAAATTCCCCTAAAGCCTCTCTTACACACCTAGTGCCTTGGATTCTTTTTGCAATCATTTCACAATGAGCTGGATGAAAATAAATGAATGAATTAATAAAATCTCTTTCATTTCAGACCTGACAGTTTACTTGGGTGCATCTTAACTTTAGGACTGTAAGAAGTAGAGCTTATTCACTATTCGTGCTCCTTTTACTCTCTATTTAAGATTTTACAGACCTTTCAGTGTTCTCTACATCAAGTTAAAATATCCAAAATATCCAAGTCTGTCCTCATACTGAAGCCAATTCCTATGGCTGATCACCCTTCCTGCTCTCCTCTGTACTTATAGTAGTTCAACCATATCATCTTAGAAATGGTAGTGATGGATTTCTGCAATGCATTAGAGATGGATGTGTGACAGGGATTTGTTCAGTGGTACCATGATGTTCTGTCTATTGTTTCCATATAGGATCTAAAATGTTGCTGCTTTTACGGCTGCTGCTGAGCAGGGAATATGCTCTGA